CCCCATATGGGGCAACCTGCTCAGTGGGAAGTCTGCTTCTCCCTTGCCCTCTCTCTTTGCCCCCTCCCCAGCTCGTGCTCTCTCTCTCTCTCTCTCTCTCACACACACACACACACACACACATTCTCTCTCTCTCTCAAACAAACAAATAAAATCTTAAAGAAAAAAAGAAGCAGCAGTTAGGCTCCCAGACACCGTCCTTACCTGGTAGAATACTAAAGGCCCATTCTCAGAAGAGAGTAGCAGGGGATCTCTATTCTGGGGGCACTCTGACAATGGGAATCAAATAATGACTTATGTATTCAATATTGAAGTCTCCAGTCTTTTTTCTCTATTCAGCTATCCAAACTCTGGCTGCCAGGAAGTACCCCCCAGACAGGAGATTGAAGGAGTTTTTTCTTGACCAGCTCAGCAGAAAAGACAAGGAATGGCCCAACCAGCTCTATGTATTCAGCCCCAGTCATGACCACATGGTATCAAGTCTGTGTTTTAGAGTCCCAGTTTTAAATATAAGCTGACTGCAAAGGATGACTAAACATTTGAGGAAAGCCTCTAGTAAGAAAGAGGTTAGAACACACTTCAGGGGGAAAAAAATCTTGGAAGATAGCAACTATGCAAAAAACAGAAGACTTGAAAGAGAAAACTGTCATTAATATCCTAAGAGATGAGGTATTGCACCAATGAGCAAGAATGGAAGGCTACAAAAAAGAACTCTTGGAAATTAAAAATATGATTGCAGAAAATGAAAAACTCAAATGAACTATTAGATATAAATTTGAGAAAATGAGCAAAAAGGCTAAGCAATGGAAAGCAGAAAAGACAAGATAATTAGAGGACTAGTTTAAGGGAACTCAGCATCTGAACAACAAGAATTCTAGGAAGAAGCAGTAGAGAAAATGTCCTAGAACTGAAATACACGAGTTTCGGACTGAAATGACCCACTGAGGACCCAGCACTGTGGATGAACATTGATTGATACCATGACATCAAAATTTCAGAACTCTGAGAACAAAGAAGATTACAAAAATTTCCAGGTAGATAGAAGAAAAAAAGAAGCAGGCTTCATGCAAAGGATTAAAAATCATACTGGCATTGGATTTCTTAATAGCAAGATGGGATCTAGGAGCCAATGGCAAGGTGCCTTGAAAATTCTGAGGGGAATTATTTCCATCCCAGAATTCTATGCCTAGCCAAATGATTATAAAGAGTGAAGATAGAATAAAGACATTTTTAGTCATGTGAGGTCTCTTTGCCCGTGTTCTCAGGAAGCTGCTGGAGGATGTGCTTCAGCAGAAATGAGCAAGTGAGTAAACTGAGAAAGAGAAGCACATGGTATCTAAGGAAGAGAAGATGCCATGGGGGTGGGGGGGTGGGGGGCAGAGGTCCCCAGGCCAATGGTTGTGCAATAGAAAGCAACAAATCCCGACTGGAACAAGGACGGAAGATTCTGAAGATATTTCTTCAAGAAATGAAATTGGTAGACGATCCAACACATTTAAGCATATTGAGAGGTTACATAACTGTACTTGTTATGCAGGAAAGGAAAAGTAATCACAGAATATTACACGGCTCACTTGTCAGCAGCATTTATATGGCCTAATAATGCAAACAGTGAGTACTCTTCCAACCAAACTTGTGATGTAATTATACAGGACAAGACAGATGGTGGGGGACACAAAAGGGACATGTGGGTATAGAGAGAGCAAGGAGAAAGAAGTCTAAAACTAAAACATCAAGAAGTAGCAATGTAAGTAAATGGAGTTGAAAGCAGTTACCTCTGTAGAGCAGAAAATGCGTGTGCGGGCACGTGTGTTTTAAGCCGAGGGACGGCTGCTTTCCGTTGCAAGCCTTGTAGGCTTTCTAAACTAAACTACATGCGTGTGCAACGAACTTTTTTTTTTTAATTGAGTGACAGCAAGCCCCTAAGCCAAGGCCACTAGTGGCAGGAGGGCAGTCGTTTTCAGCAGAAGGCTTAGCCCAACAGTGACCAATACTGAAATGCTAGCAGGAGAGGAACATTCTGGGGGACTCTGGGGAGCTGAGTGGATGGAATGTAGTTCATCCATTGAGAGCAAATTCAAATACCATGCCTTCCAGAAGCCTTCCATGGTCCCTGCCACCTCAGTGACACTTCCTTTCCCCCATCCCTTATCCCACTCCCATTACTGTGATCACTGTCTAGCTTCATCTGTAGATATTTTTTCTGGCCTTACCTGTCCAACCAGGCTGTGAACTCTCCAAGGACAGTGACTGCAGCCAAGTGGCACAGAGAAGCTGCTCAATAAATATTTGCTGAATGCGTGAATGGTCAGTATGCAGTGAGGGCTGGGTACATGCTTATTGAACAGAATAATACTTAATACTTATTGAACAGAAAGGCTCTTTTTCCTTACAATCACCCTTCCCTATGTTTTTGGCACAAAGCACGTTCTTGATAAATGTGCATTACCTTGGTGGAGCGGATGTGGCCTCCTGGACTCCCCGCCTGCTGTGTGATTTTGAACGAATTTCTTAACCTTTCAGAAAGGTGCCAGGATTTCCTCCTATATCAATAAAAAGATAAAAGAGGTCGAGAATGATCTCCTGGGTCTGGGAAGCATGACCTATGAATTGGTTGGGGTAGAAGGGATGGCCACGTTGGTGCACAAAAGAGCCCTTAGGGATTCTTAGGTGTCCAGGAAGGCGAGTGGGTGGAAGGGCCGAGAAATGGCTAATGAAAAGCGGCTGGAGAGAGGTCTGAGTGGGAGAAATGATTCATCTCCTGGAATCTCTTGCCCAAAGCCACTCCTCTTCACTGTCCCTTGGCCCTGGCTCTCGGCAGCCAGCAGTGCTGAGTTCCACGTCTGGATTGGATATTTGGCCAGATTCTCCTTATCCCCTGGCATTGGTTAGGCAGAGTTCCAGGCCAAGCCTCCTTCCCTCTGGTTGGTGCAGCTCCAAAGACACCAGCTCCAAGGGCTCAGACAAATGGCAGAATGCTCACACTGCATGGGGACATTAGATCATCTAGCCCGGCAGGTCCCCAAATGTTAGGTTTTACAGATGGGTACATTTTAAATAAATAGTGGGAGAACAGAGTTGCCAACTTCTCACTTTGCTTGGGAAGGAACATTCAAAAAAGAACTATCACTATGTTCTGTTTCTTGATCTGGGTGGTGGTTACCCAGTGTGTTCACTTAGTAGAAACACATCAAGCTAGACACATGTGAGCATGACTATTCTATGTATCTGACTTTGTAAAAAATTTACTCAGAGAACTACCATGTACTATCATACCATCATTTCATCTGAAAAAAAAAAAAAAAAAGACATTTCAGTGCTGTAAATGGCATATAAAATGGGAAAGGCATAATCTCAATGAAGGACAGTCGTGAGTTTACAATAGCATACTTTATATGATGATAGTGAAAAAATGACATGTTAAAAAGGATAGTAAAAAATATGATAGTACAAAAAAATTTCCAGGGGAGAAAACAATCAAAGCTTTATTTCACAATATTATTCACACACTGGTTTTGTCAATTTAGGGATTCAGACAGGAAGAGTTCTATATCCAGCTCATTCTTAAGCTTTATTGCTGTTGTTGAGGAAAACCCTGTTTTACTTGGTTATCTGGAAGGAAATGGAAACCGTACCCAACGGAGTCCCACTGATTTTAGAATATTCCGTGAGAGCTGAGAGATGCTGAGGACCGTGGGACACAGAGCCAGCAGGTGCCCTGATCACCCGGTGCAGAGCAATCAGACCTTTACCTGAAACTGTGTGGGAGCCCCAGGCAGTCCACCCACAAGTTTGTGGGCACCATGCCTCTATCAGACTCCCTTATGAGAAAACTGAGACCTAGAGACGGGAGGTGATTTACCCAAAGTCACACAGTAAGTTAGTGAAGCTAGGGGGGCTAGAACCCAGGTCTCCTGCCTGTCAGTCCCTTCTCTTCCCCCACTCACCCTGGCTCTGGGGCTCCTGGTAGCTGCTTCTCTTGACCCTGAAAACTGCTCCCAGGTCCTGCCATGTTGCCATAAACTGTCCAGGGCTCCAGCTCTGGTAGCCAGACATGGGCCAGGGCTGGGCTGCAGAAGATCAAGTTACCTGCTTGGAGAGGGTCCCCTTCAGGAGCCAGCCGCTCTCCAGCTTGGCAGGAGGACAACTGGGCGAGCGGGGCTTATGGAAGATGCCAGAGCTTCTACAAAGGAGGGCTTCAGCCATCCAACACCTCCTTGGGGCTGCTGTCACCAAACCCAAGTTGGCACCCTGGCTCTGGGCAGAGGATGGCGGGGGTGGGTAGAGGAGGGGGAGGTTGTTCAGAAGGCTCTGCCAGGCAGGAGAAGGTGGGGTGCTTGGCCTCTGCAAGACAGCTTCTTTCCCACCTCGAGGGCTTTGTCCAGGCCATTCATCCTCCTGCTTCTCTCTCCTCACAGACATGCCCGGTCTCTAACAACTCTGCAAAGACTTTTTGATTAATGATGCCATGAAGTGACTGCTTCAAAGGACCATAGCCTGGTCTACTCTTTGGGCCTTTGTCATCTAATCTGTGATGTGGTTGGTTGTGAGTATGTGACTATCTCTAAAGTTCCTGTCAGCACAGACAGTGAGCCTCTCAGGTCAACTCTGATGGGTAGGCTCCCAGATGAGGATGTGGACCCCTGGTAGCCCAGGTGGCTGATTCTAATCCTGAGCAGAGGGGTGGGGACCCTTAATTTCTCTACCATATGTCAGAGTGCCTCAAAGTAGGAAGAAAATCCAGTTAACCATACGTTCCAGGTACTTGGAAGGTCTCAATAAATATTTGTTTAAAGGATGAAAGAATATTGAGGTTCAGTTTAAGATTATTTTAAAGAAAAGTCCACTGCTTAAAAAAGAAAAATCAAAGACCTAGTCCAGCTGCCCTTATCTGACAGAAAAGGAAATAGGCCCAGTTAAGGCCCTTTCTTGCTGCAAGTATCATGGGAAACACACAGGGCTGGATGGGTGTCCTGAGCCCAGCCACTTGAGCACTGTTCTTTTTATTAAAGATTTATTTATTTATTTATTTATTTATTTATTTATTTATTTATTTATTTATTTATTTATTTATTTATTTTGGTGGTGGGGAGGGCAGAGGGAGAGGGAGAATTTCAAGCAGACTCCTGCTGAGCATGGAGCCTGATGCAGGGCTCAATTTTACGACCCTGAGATCATGACCTGAGCTGAAACCGAGTTGGATGCTCAACCGACTGAGCCACCCAGGTGCGCCTGAGCACTGCTCTTCTGATGAGTGAGAGCCCACTGAGAGTCAGGGCTGAATACCCCATGAGCAGCACTACTGCTCAGCTCCCAGGGATACTCCCCATCTTCAGCTGGCACCCTGAGCATCTTGAAAATCCCTGTCATTACTTGGGCTAGCTTCCTCCACCCCACTTACTTCCTTCTAATGTCCCCCAACTTCTCTCATCCTCTGCTGCAAGCTATGTGACCTTGAGCAGTTGCTCAGCTTCTCTGAGCTTCCATCATTAAATTTAGAGGAAGGTTACTGACCTGAAGAATTGCCATGAGGTTCACAAGGTCCAGCAGAGAAAGTACATGATAAAGGCAACTTTCATGGAAACCTACTCTGCGCCAGACACATGCAAGACACGGCCATTTCCTGCACAAAGCACTGCAGGGTTTAAGTAGAGATTAGATGCACAGGCAGGGCTGATCTGAGTTAGAATTCTAGCCCTGTTATTAACTCACAATCGTCACTTAGCCTTTCTGGGACTTTCTTATCTGTAAAATGGAAATAATGATACCTACCTTGCTGGGTGGTTGGGAGGATTAAATAGGAACCCTACAAATGCCCAGTGCTTGGCATATAGTAGGTTCTCAGTGCAGGGCAGCTTTCATGTGTCTCTCTCTCTATGAGGTGCCCACTGGACCATCCTGTGCATGTGCATCCCCTCCCCCAGGTCCTCGGTGAGCACTGGGCCCCAGCATTGAGTACATTTTCAGTTCAAGGCTGTGGAATTTTACTGGGGTCTGACAGGGAGAACCAAAAGAAAGAGGAATGAGGAGGCCCCAGGATGGGGAGCTTAGAGTGGGGGTGTTGTGCTGGGCTGGCAGCCGGCAGGCCTGGCCTGAGCCCTGGACAACCACCTTTCTGAATCAGATCCTTCCCTCAGAGCAAGCAAACAGGCAAGCAGGCTCGGGTGGAAGCCCTGGCCAAGCACAGCGGAACCTTTGTGAGCTCTTGGCTCTCCCCACAGCTCCCTCCCTCTTCCTTGTCATTGCCTACAAGGAGCCCGGGGAGTGGGGCTCCAGGCAGGAAAGCAGCTCGCAGGCTTCCTGGCCCTCATCACCTCCATCAGCCTCTAACCACCTTAGCCTGGCATTCAAGGCCTGAGAGTCAGCCCCTCTCATCTCTTCTCCCTCCTGCCTCATCTTCCCCTATCTAGCTGCCACCCTGTCTTGCACATGTGGTTCACTGTCCCTTTGATTCTTCTGCAGAGGTGTGAACAAGGCCAGGACTGTGGATGAGCAGAGAGAGGACTTCATTCCAGGAGAGGTCAGCATTTTCCTCCCATCCTCTGCTGCTCCTAGAGCAACATTTCCCCACTGCTCCAACCAGTCCTAAGCACTCAGACTTTGGTTTAGTCTTTACTGGCTGTGGCTTAGCCCTGAGAGTAACTTTCCTCCTCTATACGAAGAGACAAAACTCCTACTTTGGGCAGGCCCTGATAGGGCAATTTTCTGTCCACTCAGGAATTTGAGGAGACTCCCTGGACTCTTGTTCTTGCCTTGCCCCCCAACAGCGAGGTGCCTCATCACCACCCAGAACGGCTTGGGATCCAGGAACCTGAACTCTGAAACTGCCATCTCTCTGAGGTCTAGCCTTATATGAATCATTGCTCAGAACTCCTCCTGCCTCCTGGACCCCTGGGTAGTCCCCCTCATTCCTTAGTCCAACTGAGGGAGGTATCCTGTGACATTCTCGCTGAGCACTGTCCTACTCTCCCATCATCACCACCGTGCAGAGCCTCTGCCTATCTTGTTCACCATTGGACTCCCAGTGCCTGGCCAGAACCTGGAACAAAACAGGGGCTCCGTGAACGAGAACTGCCTGCTTGGGTGAGGTCCTCCCACCCCCTGTGCTGTCAGCACCTGAACTCACCTTCACTTCACTGAGAACATTTCTGCATGGAAACAAACAAACAAACAAAACAAAAACCATAGGGGCTCTTGGGTAGCTCAGTTGGTTAAGCATCAGACTCTTGATTTCAGCTCAGATCATGGTCATGAGATCGAGCCCAACCTCAGGCTCTGTGCTCAGCGGTGAGTCTGCTTGAGGATTTCTCTCCCTCTCCCTCTGCCCTCTCCCCACTGCTCATGCTCTCTCTCTAAAATAAGTAAATAAATCTTAAAAAAAAACAAAGTCAGACAAATGACAAATGGAGGAAAATTTATACACAAGACAGACAAAATACTAATTCCTTTAATATTTTTATAAAGCAATAAGAAAAATACCTTTGTTCATGTTCTTTATCCAAGTAGGAAGAAATAAAATTTACAAAAAGAAAAATAAACATTTTTATGTCTGCAAAAAGATACTTAACCTCACTCAAAACAAAAGAAAAATCAACTAAACAGTGAGCTATGCCCCTCAGATTGGCTTAGACCAAATAGGATATATTTATGAGAGATCTGCTTGCACATGTTTGCAATAATGGGTAAGGATATTCATGACAGCATTGTTTGGAGATATTAAGGACCAGACAGTGACAACTTTAGCTTGAGGACCATAGGGGTTCACTGCTAAAAAAGAGAGGAACTAGTGGGATGGATTTAGCCAGCAAGCCATAGTTTACCAACCCCTAGTTCAGATGAACAAAAGACTAGAAATGACTTTGATGCCATCACCAAAGGAATGCCTAAACACATATCTCATAGCCCTAGGATGGAATACGCCTGCAGAGGGGATGTGCTTATCAGTTTCCTCCATGTGCATTTTGAAAAGAAAATATACACATCCATCCTGTGTACCCGAGGATTCTCTGGAAAGATACAGAAGAGCTACCCTGTGGAAGAAGAAAACTAGGAGTCTACGGGAGCCAAGGCTGAAAAGAAAACTTTTCAAGGCATACCCCATTGCTCTGTTTGAAAGGTATTCATACCATAAGTACATGTTAACATTAAAAAAAAAAAAAAAAATAGCTCCCTAGTCCCCCAAATAAAGATGTTCCCTGAAACAAAGGGATTCATGGTGAAGTAAATGTGGTCCATGCAGGGTTAAGCAAAGTTAAAGTGTTTTTGCTGCAGGACTGGTTGGGGTGGCGGAGTGGCCTTCAAAATGCTATTGTGCCTCAAGAATCCACGAATCCATGAACCCCGAGGAGGACACTGTAGGTGGCACTTCCCATGCTTATTGCAGGACCACAGAGAACCTCTGCGGGCCAGTATTCTGCAGGAGAGATGCTGAGAATCACCACCTCCAGGAGCAAGCACAGATCCCACTGCACTCACTGTTCTATTCTCTGCCATATGCGTGTGCATGCTCACACACACACACACACACTCTCTCTCTCTCTCTCTCTCTCTCTGCTGCAGCCTTTCTTGAAGTGCACTCCTCAGGTCACTCATCTTGTGAGATGCTCCGTGGTCAGATAGTCTTAGGAAACACTGTCTGCCTAAGTGGATGACAAATTATTGCTCACACTCCTAGTGTGAGCTGTGGCCCAATCTATGCCTAGTAGTAAGTAAGAAGTACTTACTACTTCTCTGTCTTTGCTCACACCATCCCTTCCATTTGACTGCTTTTTGTTTTAACCCATTTCCACCAGCCAAAGTTCCAACTCATCCATCAAGGCTTGGGTCTTAACACTTTCTGCACCATGATGAAGGCTTCTTGGATCCTGGCAAAATTCTAAAGGTGCCTGACAAGTGTCCCCAGACCATTATTGAAGGAAAGGAATCACTGAGTGCAATAGAGGAAGGTCCAAGGGAGGGATAGAGGCTGGAAGATTACATTAATGGGGGTGACTGTGCTTGGGTTAAGAGTGGGCGATGCAGTAGATGGTGACACCTGTGTCCACAATTCTGTTCATTACGGGTGGTGCAGGCAGAACTTCCCACATGTAGGTCGGGCCGAGGGTCCCAAAGCAGCTTACTGGCCCAATCTTGGACAGTCCCGGGGATGAGGGAGACATCCCTCTCTCCTAAGCCTCTTCGTCAGGCTCTTATCCCTGTCCCAAGCCCCACTGAGAAAAATGCCCACCTCTGGATATGGATCTTCAGGTATCTTGGCACATTGTGTGCCCTTGCCTTTTAGACTGTCCCCATAGGCACTCCAGGGAAGGTGGGCACTCCCTTGAGTTGTTTTGACCAAAGAACCTCGTGGGGATCTGCATAAACTGAGCTATCCTCCCTCCCCACCCAGACTCTACAGCCCACTGGACACCCCAACGCTGCCCCTCTCAGAGGCTATATGAGGGTGGACCTGCACAGGGATCCCAAAATGGGAAGAGGCCAGTTGACTTGTTTATCCCTATAAGCGATTTCCTCTGGAACCTTCAGCAAATTACCTAACCTCTTTGAAGTTCGTTTTCCCCACCTCTACAACAGGTGTGTCTACCTCAGTGGCTACTTAAGAGTATTAAGTAGAGTAGATGAAGGCCACTGGCAGAGGAGGTACTTAGCAGCAGTTTCTTTCTCCCTCCTTCCCCAGTGCGGATTCTGAACTGCTAGAGAGACTATTTCTTAGTTTTCAATTGTGTGGTGCCGGGACACTGAACGGAGGATAAACTGGGATGGATGGCAAGGCAGCTGTGGCCCAATCTATGCCAAAGATAGGAATGCAAATTTCAAAGCAGCCTCACCTCCAGGGAAGGCTTCCCTGAGCCTTTCCCCTTCAAGGGTTGCTTTATCTTTCTGCTTGTAACTAGCTGGTATTCTCATTGGTCTCCCTCTGGCCCCACTGACCTCCCACACATGTGGGCCCCCCCTCAGATCAGGTGCTAAAGATGACTCAGCTCTGTGTTTCCAAGCCCTCCAGGCTTGGCACAGAGTGGGCTCACCAGATGGAATAGTGGGAAAGGCTAGTTTCTGCCGCTGCCAGTGAAGTTCCCTGAAAGAACAATTTTACTTACTGCCCAGAGGGTGCCAAGCTCTCAGCCAAAGTGAGCAGGGCAAGGAGAGGGGATGAGGTGACAAGAGGCAGGGATGGATAGAGCTGGAGAAAGGACAAGCCACTTTGTGATTTGCCTCTGGTCACTCATTCATTAAACTCAATGAATTAAGTGCCTCATGTTTTCCAGGCCCTTTGCACGTTCTGGCTTGGGGTACTGCAGTATGTTAGTTAACAGCGGTGCGGACCTGGCTCTATGCATTCTTGGGCAAGTCACTTAATGTCTCTGAGCCTCAGTGATGTATCATCAGTAATATGGACATTATACTCAATGTTTCACAAGGTTGTTTTGAGAATTACATGAGTTTATTTATACAAATTGTTTGATACAATTCTGCTAAATAATCATTTGCTGATATAATTGTTAAAGACAATAATCCTCACTCAGTCCTGTATGGTTGGAGTTAGAGTGCAGGCAGACCTTGGAGTCCAGGCCAGCAATCCAGTTCCTTCATCTAAGTGCCAGAGAAGACACAGGCAGAGCAGGAACAGATCCCTGGCGAAGGGTTTGCAGGACTTTCTTTCCATCTGAGCTGTTGTTTTCCCTGAGTTTGGGGCCTGCCGCGCAGGCATGCATGCTGATTCGCCAAGCACTCCTCCGGGGAAAGTGGTATGTGGGGCCGGGGCTCAGTTTGCACATAACTATGCCATAAAGGCAACTTCCTGGACTCATAGCTGAGGATGTACTTAAGGTGCAGTCCATTGCTGGGCCTGCAACGTACTGCTCTGGGCACCTCCTCTCCTTTCTTGTTACAGCCCGGCCCAGGAGAGCTCACCGCTTCACCCCAGGACATTGTCTTACTGGAGTTTGAGGCGATAATAACGACACAAATGTATTTGTAAAATTTTCCACTGTTCCCAGTGTGCTCTCATAGTCTTGATTTCATTTGATCTCCACATTTTTTTAACAGATGGAGAAACTGAGGCACAAGGAGTTAACTCGCTTATCTGAGGTCCTAGTACTGGTCACCAGGGATACTCACCGAATGCTGATTCAGTTCCTTAACATCTGACGCTCACTGGGTGTCTCCTAGAAGCCAGTCTCCGCTGGAAGTTCTCTACCCACATTCAGTCCTAGAAATCCTCACAACCACCCCATGTGGCACCAACGTTCTTCTTCTCCCCTAGATGACAGAGATCAAGTAACTGACCCGAGGATACATAGCTGGTAGGTGGCAGAGCCAGGGTTCAAATCCAGATAGTTGGGCTCCACAATCAACATTCTGAATTTCTATGTCAGGGGTTCTTGACCTCATGCTATGGACATTCGGGGCCAGAAAGCCCCTTGTTCTGGTCATCCTATGCCTGAAGGGTGTTCAGCAGCATCCCCAGCCTCTACACACTAGATGCCAGTAGCTTGCCCCCCCACAGTTGTGACAACCAAAATGCCTCCAAATGTTGCCAAATGTCACTTGAGGGTTAACATTCCCCCCAGTTGAGAACTGCCACTCTGTGTTATACTATCCTAACATGACCATATATAGGGTTTTTTTTTTAAACTATGGCAACCCCTAATTTTAGACAAAATATGTTCTACAGACCTCTTTCTAAAATGAGTCAACATTCAGATTCAAATAACCTTAACTGCTCACCTCCTAGGCCCAGGCAATTTATAGACCGTTTAAAAAATGAATTGACGCTTAGGAAAATCAAGCAACTTGCCCAGAAGGATAAAGCTAGTATGTGGTAGAACAGGAACATGAATATTGGTGTCAAGGTCCACATGATGAACTTTTTTTGGTAGTATTTATTTTGAAGTGACATATTCAGTATTTTCTCAGTTCTAAGATACACTTTCTCCCTACAACTTAATGGTTTTGAAACTGAGATGCAACTTAAAACCAATGTGTGTTTATAGTGGAGAGATTTTTTTTTTATTCCCTAAAAGATGCTATTTAATTAAAAGTGTGTCTCATAACTAATAGCCTCTTAGAATTGAGAGTTGAGAGCTGGAGCTGGGACTGTGGGAGATGCTAATGGAGTCAGATGGGAAGGGAAGAGAGAGAGCAGTAGCCCTCCCTGTCTGGGAGGACGCCTGCTCTGCTGTCCCGGCTGTCCACCCAACTCTGCATCCCTCCCTGCACCCCTGTCCAGCTTTTAGGACCTACCTCATACCACACTCCTCCAAGAAGTCTTTCTAGGTCCTTTGGCGTGAAGCTCATCCTTTCCTAATTTCATCATAGAGCTTTTTCCTATTAGAGCATTTCAGTGACAGGATAGCATATATAGCTGACTAAACATTTTCTCCTTAATTATGGAGATATTAGCATCCTTGCTTTACAGATGACAAGACTGAGGCCCAGAGAGGGGCAGCAAGTTGCCTAACCTCTCTCTTAAGGGCATGGAAGAGAAGTGAGTCTCCAGGTTCTTCACGTCCTCAGTACTTCCTGCTTGTTCTGGGATAGTTTCCCATAACCAGCAGTCAGGTTAGCCAAGCCTTCCCTTGGACAAAGTGGCATTCCAAGCTGTGTTGAGGTTTGCCTGTGACTGCACAGTCAACAGAGTGACATCTGAAGTCAGGGAGGTGAAATGGTTCACCCAATGCCACACAGTTCCCAAGCAGCAGCACTGACTGGTTGTCCTCACACCAAACATCTGCTTCTAAATTCTGGTCTGTCCAGCCCTGCCCCCTTCTCTCATTGTGATGCTTTCAGGTCCCAGACAGGCTTGCCTCCACTCTCACCAGCAGGAAAGGGACGGCAGTCTCATCCAGACCTCCCCAGTGAACACCTACATCCCTGCTCTCATTGCTGTGATGTCACAGGGGTTGTGGTCTGGTCCCCCTGGCATAGCCCACCCATGATTGAACTCTTCTAGAGCTGGCTTCAAATCCCTCATTTAGCAGAGTGATGTGCATGGGACCCTTCCCCGAACACCAGACTCCAAGTCAGAAAGCCACAGAGCTAGAGGAGACATGTTGAGTTCCAGTGGTGCTGCATTTTGGCAAGTCAGTTGGGGATGACACCACCATTCTCACAGGTTGTCATGAAGACTGAAATGACATAATGTCTGTGAAGACCTTTGGTACACTCTCAAGTGCTGTGGTGGAGTTGAGGCTAGCTGCGTAGTGTTTTGCAAAGTCATGGGCTCTGGCTCTGGACAGACATGGACCATGTGACTGCGGGCAAATAATTTCCTTGAAATTCAGTTCTCTCATGGGGATAACGTATCAACCTCATCAAATGTGGGTCTTAAATGAGATTATACACATAAAGGATCTCATGCGGTGCCTGGCATACAGGAGGCACTCCATAAGTATTAAATTCCTTCCTCAGTATCATTATATGAAGCATAGCAGAAACCGGTACCTTAATTCTATTATTTAAGCAAGCTGATCAATCTCATACTATGCGTAGAGACTTAAACCTTGAATGAGCACTGAGATCGTTAATGATTTTAAAGTACCAGCAGCCACCTTTGTGTTGAGCCATCTATCACCCAGGGAGACTGCAAAGCTGGACAAGGAATTGCAGCCCGGAGGAAAATGCCACTATGTAATGGAGGTAATTTAAAAGTGCACATCTCTCCCTCCATACTGTTCCAGGTCTGCTACCCCTTCTCTATGAAAAGGCTGGAGCCGAGATGCAAACAGGTTCTAAAGAGGGCAATGAAAATTATATGGGTTGTGGTTTGAGAAGGGAAGGAAGAGAAGAAAAAACAAGGCAGAAATTACTTGACTTGGAAAGGAAAGGGTAAGACGGGTGATAAATAAGAGGGTATTATATGGCAGGGGAGGGTGGTGAGTCACATGCCAAGGTCATTATTGTGGCAGGGCCTGGGGGGACCAAAGGATCATGTCTCAAGACTTGGAACGCTTTGGAAGACTATACAAATCACAGACGTTATTAATTATGATTAACAGTGACCAATGTGGAGTTGCTTTTTAGTTCAAATGTGTTCTCTCATTTTCTAAACATGCCCAGAAACTGCAGGCTGGAGTCTACCATACACATCTCTGCGCCTATGAAGGATTCTGCTCCTATGGCAGTTCGCACAGGCAAGAGGTCTAGGCTTAGCATCTCTTGGAGTATGCCCTGACCAGGGGGTGAGGGTTAATTCCTGAGCAGGAATTTCAACAGTTTTCAGAGATGGGACAGCTCCAAACGCCTTTCCAGCCTCATCTCCATTTGCTTTCCCCTCCCCTCAACACTGCAGCCCCTCTGAATTTCCCAATGGTCCTAAAACACATCATTTGGACATTCCCTCAATAAAGGCGAAGCACCTATTACACGCCAGGCACTGTTTCAGGCAGTGGGATACAACTTCAGTGAACACAAGGTCTCAGCCCTTAGAGAACTTACATACGAGTATGCAAATCATTTCTAGTAAAGGAAGGCTAGTTTTAAAAGGGGAGGCAGAGAAAGCTTTTCTGTGGAGATAATATTTAAGCAAAGATCTAAATGATGTAAAAGTGAATTAGCAGCTAACTGGGTTAGCAAGTATGAAGATCTTGAACAAGCTTCTCTGAATCAGCTTGGTGAGTGGGAGAAACCAGAAGGAAACCATAAAAGCTGGGCAGGGTGAACAGGAATCAGACTAGGAGATGCCAGAGGCTGGCATGGACCAGATCATGGAGGTCCGTAAAGTCATAGTCAGAGCTGGATTCTGGTCTAAGACCACTGCAAAGGTCTGAGAAGAGGAGGTCCATGATCACTCTGGCTATTAGTTGAAAAATAAACTCGGAGGGAAAGATAAAGAGATATGGCAGTGGTTTGAACTGCAGTGGTAACAGCAGAGGTGGTTAAGAAGGAACTGGGGGCAAGAGGTGGGGGTGCACTAGTGACAGACACGACCTAGGTCTTAAGAATTCCCAGCCTAACAACTTGTCACCAGTGTCAACGTCTTATCTCTGTAGCAAAAACACGTGGCGTAATGTCTGGCATGATGTGTGTTAAAATGGAACTGGAAAAGTAGTAACAAATCTTCCGGAAGAAAAACGTTTTCACGTAACTGATCTTGAAATTTGAATTTTCTGTTTCAGAATGCTATTTAATCTCTTCCAAGATAGGAAAAATATACATATTATAGAAAACATGGAAAATAGAAATGTCAAAGAAGAAAAATTTATAAATCCTCATACTTCCACCACCTGGAGCTAATCATTAGTATTTTGATGTACTTTCCCCCAAGTCTTTTCATAAATTTTTTTTATCTTTTTTTTTTATTCTTATGTTAATCCCCATACATTACATCATTAGTTTTAGATGAAGTGTTCCATGATTCATTGTTTGTGCATAACACCCAGTGCTCCATGCAGAATGTGCCCTCCTCAATACCCACCACCAGGCTAACCCATCCTCCCACCCCCCTCCCCTCTAGAACCCTGTTTGTTTTTCAGAGTCCATCGTCTCTCATGGTTCGTCTACCCCTCCGATTTCCCCCACTTCATTCTTCCCCTCCCGCTACCTTCTTCTTCTTCTTCTTCTTTTTTTTCTTAACACATACTGCATTATTTGTTTCAGAGGTACAGATCTGAGATTCAACAGTCTTGCACAATTCACAGCGCTTACCAGAGCACATACCCTCCCCAGTGTCTATCACCCAGTCACCCCATCCCTCCCACCCCACCCCCCACTCCAGCAACCCTCAGTTTGTTTCCTGCAATTAAGAATTCCTCATATCAGTGAGATCATATGACACATGTCTTTCTCTGACTTATTTCACTCAACATAATACCCTCCAGTTCCATTTTCATACATATTTTTAAAAAGATGGATCTTCTACTCTGAAGAGCAAACTGGTCGACCCGAATCAGTTGGTCCAGGTTTGAATCCCACTCCACCACTGAATGGCCCTGGACAAGTCACTTTTGGATCCATAAAACGAGGATAGCAAGAGCTACTGCACCAGGTTATGGTGAACCTAAGTAACTGATGCATACGAAGTACCTAATAGGACATAGTACATAGTAAGTGCTCAACATACAGCAGCTGCTATTATTAAAAGGAAGTCCAAACCCCACAAGATGCAATTATAAGGAAAGCTTTGAACATTTCATATTTTTAGGAAAAAGGCTTTGCAAATCCATAATCTAACCACATGTCCTCTTCTAAAGATAAATAATTATACCAAGAATAGGAATTTGCCAAATAAGTTGTAAGCAATACCAAACATTTCTAAAACCAAAATTTTACAGTAACACAAAACAGAAATGCGCCAAGAACTAACCCAAGGCTTGGCCTGCTTAATAAATCTCTCCTATAAGGCTGACATACTTATGGGATTACCGTTTACATCAGTAACAGTTTAAAGGGTGGACACTGCTCACCTGCCAAGAAATGATTCCTTCGGGCTTTCCATCTTCGGTTATGTCTCTGTGGTACAACAGAGCACAACAGTGTCAGGACTCTTCCGTTCTCCCTTGGCCTCTGCCAGCACCAAGTGGCATCATCCTGAGCAAGATGTCCTGTCCAGTCCTCTGTGAAATGAGGGGTTGTCTACAGAGTTTCCAAAACTTCTTCTGACTCTAAAACTCTCCTGTCATGTAGATTTTACAGTTTAGTATGTGTAATAGTGGTTAGAGGAAGAAATATCCTATCTTAGGTTATCTTGAAAACTTTAAATAGGATACTGAATATCACAATGATCATCTACTGTTTTGGAGGGAAATGAGTAACATTACGGTTGACCCTTGAACAGCACAGGTTTGAACTGCATGGGTCCACCTACATGTGAATTTTTTTCAATAAATATGTTGGAAAATTTTTTGAAGATTTGTGACAATTTGAAAAAATTCATAGATGAACTGCATAACCTAGAAATACCAAAAAATTAAGATAAACAGGTATTATTGTAAGAATAAAGTATATAATAACATATACAAAATATGTGTTAATTGACTCTTTATGCTATCAGTAAGGCTTCTGGTCAACAGGAGGCCACTGGTTAAGTTTTTGAAAAGTCACAAGTTACGCACAAATTTCAATTGTGCAGGGGAGGCAGTGCCCCTAAACCCTGCATTGTTTATGGGCCAACTGTACATAGATACATTTCTAATACTAAGATAACAAGTCACATTTTCACTGAGAAGCAAGAGACTAGCTTAAAAACATTTAGGGTCATGAAGTCCCACATACAATTTTCAAAGGTGGATCTACTCTTAGCAAATGTCAATTTCTCAGTAGCTTCAAACCTATCCCAACTGGACTTACTGGCAATTGTTGGTGAATCTGGCTTAGTTCTATATACCATTATCAATTAAATGAGGCAATACATGGGAAAAGAAATAGTTTTTATAGGTTTCTGCAAAGGCTGTTTGTTGCCTACTCTCTATTCTTAGCTACAAACAGGGAGACATGTAGAAACCACACAGATTCTCACAGGGCTTACATCTAACGAAGAGCCAGGCAAGGAGCACATTTGTAAGGGCCACTTGACTCAGATTTCAAGGACGGAGAACCTCCAGAAAAGTGACAACCAAGCTGAGGTCTGGAAGGCAAACAGCGACAAGGGTGGAAGGGTGATTGGAGACAAGTGTACCTGGGGCGTCACCTCCTTGAGTCTGCTCCACTCACACCATGGGTTTTCCTCTAGCGAGGGTGACCGTAAGTCCTGGTTTGCTCTGGATAGTCCCGGTTTATGTTACTCTGGCATAACTATTTTTTTTTAAAGATTTTATTTATTCATAAGAGACAGAGAGGGAGAGGCAGAGGGAGAAGCAGGCTCCTGCTGAGCAGGGAGCCCGATGCGGGACTCGATCCCAGGACCCTGGGATCATGACCTGAGCTGAAGGCAGACGCTTAACCTACTGAGCCACCCAAGCACCCCATTCTGGCATAACTAGTAAAAGGACTTCCTTATACGCTCAAAAGTGCCCCGGTTGGGAGGATCTTATACCGATACTCTACCTCTAGCCCAGTTCCTGGCAGATCCTGACTTGCAGGTCTGGCTTCCCCATGTGACTCAGCTCACTAAAGTATGGGGCTCAACATTATTTACCCTGGCATCCATGGCATGGGCTCCACCTCATTCATCTTTATATCCATGACACCTAGCCTCATGCCTGGGGCTAAACAGATTGACCACTACAGGCATTCAAGACAGTATTTGAAATTAGCATGAAAAGCAAATACAAGGGACAACAAATTAGATTCATAAATCTTTACCTCATGCTAAAATCCTGGTTCCAACTTTAACTAGCTGATGACCTTCTAATTCTTAGGTTTTCACTTGAAAAAAAGGGGAGATACTATCTTTTTCACAGGGTGGGTAATTTTAAACAAGACAATCCAGGTAAAGTGCATTAGCACAGCACCTCGCATGCAGTGAGCATTATTTGCAGCAGCTACCACAAACAATGATGAGCACTCCTCCTGCTACCACAACTGTTTTTGCCGTAGGAAAATCAAACCAACACCTAACAAACATCCAGTAGGGACTCAGTAAGTGTGCACTAAATGAATGCTTGGTCTCATGCTGGGTGCTGGCTGCAGACCAGATTCTTGGACTACAAGATCCATTAATCAAAATTACAGTTTCTAAGTCACAAGGTTTGACTCCCCTCAGTCCAGTTTTAAGGACAATTATAAAAAACCCACCACATACCCATAAGCACAGAACATAGCAGCCCTATCTGGCTGTATCTTAGCTATGTTAACAGCACTTAAACCTTACCCTTGTTGTAACTATGCCCTCTTTTAAAGTTACTCTTCTATAAGCATGCCAACTTAGATATCTGGGTCCATCTCTACTGTTTTTGAACTGTCAGCCTCTCAAGTTTTAAGTGATTAATGTATATACAGAAAATCAGGAAGGCTTCAGATTGAGTCAATAGTTTTCTTGATCCTCCAATTACAATATCCTCTTTGCAATATATCCTTGTTGAACATTTGGAATGAATTAGGACTTTAAACTTCCAGATGTTTAAACTACTAGTATAAATTCGAACTCATTAAAAAGGGCAGATTTACTACCTCTACTTAGTTTTGAAGTCTGTTGTTCACCCTGTCCAAATAATTTATGAACCCAAATACAGTGGCAGGTAGTGTATTCTATTTATATAGTATTTACAGCTAGAAATAAAGGGCATTTTAAACTCTGGAAATTAACTGCCATTTTAACCAACCTATAGATCACTTATTGTTTCTAAGCTAGTAATTGTTTCCTGAAACCGATCTAGTAGAGATTTTTATGCTAATCTGTACTAAAAATTACTTTGCTTTTTCTGGCCACAAAAAGCTGGCTACAGAGGAAGCATTTGATTACAGCAAGAAGACAGCTGCACCCACTCTCGTGAAATAAAATGGACCTGGATCTACAGTCCTTTGTGGTAGTGTCTTGGCAGCCAAACAAAGGTGGCAGCATTTCTACACCCAGTTTGTGAAGTCTCAGACTTTTTTTTTCCCCCCAAAGAATCCACATCGACTATAATGAGCACATTCTAGAGATGCTGTGCTGAAAGCTGGCAATGGATAAAGCAGGAACATAAAAGGAGCCTATTCTTAAAGCAAATATTTCTTTTATAAACCATAAGAATGAAGTGGCTTTCATAATCAATTTTAAGATCGAAGGACTGAAGTACCTGGCTCTGGCACTTACTAGCTATATAATTTGGAGCAATTCATTTACCTCTGTGAGCTCGATTCTCAACTGAAAAATGGGGATAATAGTGGCTTGAGTTTTTCAGAGAACTTGAATGATATATTCAAAGTGCTCTGTAAACTCTAAAGTAACATATAAATATTAATAAACACTGCAAGTACAATTTTCCTGTTTTATGAATCACTCACTTTATTTTTATTATGTTATGTTAATCACCATACATTACATCATTAGTTTTTGATGTAGTGTTCCATGATTCATTGTTTGCGTATAACACCCAGTGCTCCATGCAGTACGTGCCCTCTTTAATACCCATCACCAGGCTAACCCATCCTCCCACCCTGAATCACTCACTTTAAATGGCATTTTAAAAGTCGCTGTCCCTAAAACGAAATAAAAACCAGATCCAATTAAGTTACTGAAGAGGAACTCACCTCAAGAGGGGTCTCTTTCAACTCAATCACTTACTATTTACCTCAGGGTTTTTGTTAGGAATTAAATATAAATTATACAAAATTACTTATAAGCATTTGTTCTCATTTATTTTTCAGGTAACAAATCCTATGTTAGGCTTCAACTGTGTAACTTTCCTTTCCCAAAAATGAGAGTGGATATGTCAAAAGCAAACCTTTCTCCAGTTAGATTTGCTAAGTCTTAAATCTATTTTCTAGTATATTTCACAAACTGTTTAGATTTAAGATAGAATTTTTTTTTAAACTGCATAGGCTTTTATAGATACCCTATATGTCTTTTTAATTTTAGTAAATTTGATTCACTTAACTCTACCAAGTGTGTGTATGTGTAGTTACAAGTAAGTACAATTGTAGTCCAAGGGCCAACTCAAGACTTTAAGCTCTAGTAAGAAAGTGCACCTGCTAGTGCCAGCACTTAAACCTGGCACACAGTAGGCGTTCATCTAATATTTGTGGAATAAACAGTCACAACGCCTACTACTTTCTATCTAATCTTGCAAAAGCGACAATTTGTTTCATGTGTGGGGAGACCACCAACGACTCAATCTATCTTCAAACATCAGTTTGTGAAAATGCCTTAATAAGTTAAGGTTTGGGGGTTTTCAATAAATTACCAATTTAGAGAACAGACACAGATTATAAAAACAAATGATGGGCATCTTAAAAGCTTACCCAATGCTAGTTGCAGGACTGTTTTGCATACATTATTATGGTGAACAGCAAACAGGGCTGTATTCTGCAGCTCCTCTCATCAAGATGAGGATTCTGTTTCCTCATCCCTTGTATCTGGGCCAGCCTATGACTTGCTTTGACCAAAACAATGTGGTGAAAGTGATGGTCTGTGAGTTCTTGAGCTCAGGCCTTGAAGCTACTGCCTCTGCCTTCTTGGTACTCCGAGACCATTATGCCCTAAGCCCAAGACAAAAAGACCACATGGAGAGGCCCAGCTGTTCCACTCCGCCCCCAGCCAGTCGGCCAGCTGAATGCAGAGTGCCCATATGACACTAGCAAAAGAACCATTCAACCAAGCCACAAAACTGAGAAATGATAAACTTTTTTTAAGCCACTAAGTTCTGGGATGTTGTTAAGCAGTCATAGGTAATTGATGATAAAGTATCTACTCTTCATAGTGCAACCTGTGTTTTTTTTTTATAGCTGAGGAAACACAACCAGGTCAAATATTCTACCAACATCACACCACTCCCCCCCCCCCAATGCAGGCCTTGAATTCACACCCCTGAGATCAAGACCTGAGCTGAGATCAAGAGTCCAATGCCCAACTCAGATCGCCCAGCCGACTGAGCCCCACCCAGGGGCCCAAGATCACACCACTCTTAAGTGTCCTAAAAACTAGAAGCAGGTATTAAAAGGCCAGCCCTGTCTCCTTTATTGTCATCCTGTCAGCATGAATCTGATCAGTTCTTTCTGCCAAAGACAGAGGCACCTCTTAGAGCTCTGGCTATAAGATAAACTCTGTTATCTTTTTCATAACATGAATGAGTAATGTGTCCTGATCTGACACATCGGCCAGCCTTGTCCCTGACAGGGAAATGCACTGCCAGCTATCATTAAGACCTGCACTCTATAAATGCACCCCATCCTGTTTTCTGAAACTCAAGTAACACTAACATATCCCAACATAAAATAATTCAATGACATCTTGGCAATTATATTAATTCGTTTACATTTTAGCTATCAACAATTACACAAACCTTGAAAATTTGTAACGGGGTCATACAGCACATAATATTAAAACACATCAGTTAGATAAACCTTATTTAGAAATTTCTTAATTAAAATGTCTTTTATATACCCCAAGTAGTAAAACATATGCCACCCCCCCCCAAAAAAAGCCCCCAAAAAGCCATCTTCAATTGTGAAGGTGATATTTTTGAAAAAAGAATTTACCACAAGAATCCATTTTGTTCCCCACCAAAAATAATGTACCTGAACTTTAAACAAAATTCACATTTTATTTAGGTTGAAATAAACTATACAAAATTGATTTTCTTCACCAAAAATAACAGCAATATTTTCTGTATTATTCCTAGATAAACCACAAAACACTTACTTTTGTAGGTTTTCCAGGTTTTGTTTATAAATCAAGACGAGGCAGTAGATATAGTCATGGAAAAAGAGCAGACAAATCAGTTGTCAGTATCCATGGCCTCTAATCCTGTCTTGACCATGAACAGAGAGGTGTTCAACATATACCTGCTAAAAAGCTTATGAAGACGTAGGTGTTCTACATACACTTGCTAAAGAGCTTATGAAGATGTAGGCTCAACAAAGGAATGTAAACAGCAACAATCCAATGTGGAACAACAATGGCAGGCTCTCCCATTCAAACTTTAACTGTAACTTGTTCCTTTAAGTTTATTTGATAAAGACAAAATCTCTACTGCAATCCTTGCCTGGCAAGCTCACGTGTTTCTCTCTCTCTGTCTCTGTCTGGTAACTCCCTTAACTGTCCATTACAGATTTTTAACATACTAACACTCCTACTATTCAAAGGTCACTCTGAGCTTCATTGTAACATTTTATAAAATGTACTCCTTCCTCCCATACCTCTTCAAAATCTTTATCTTCTAAGAACTGATAACTCAATACCAGACAATTGGATCCAGTGACAATAAATGCTTTATCTAAAATGACTTAACTAAAACAATTCCCAAGTGCCATTAGCAGAGATCCCACAGAAGTGTAATGTGGCACTTTCAATGCTATCTTCTGGAACAGGTATGTCTCCAAAGCATGAGAGTTTAAACAGGGGCCATTTAAACTGGCAGATTATCAATGGCTAATGTACTCAATGAGAGGTCGACAGGTCAAGATATTCAGTGATTAAGTGGCCTACATACACCTGACAGCTTTTCTGTAAGATGTTTTCAAATTTCTTACAGATTTTTCCAAATATCAAACGTAAGAGAAAGCCTACTTTAAAAGTCTTTTAGGTATTTTCAATGGTTTCTGAGTTATCTGTAGGAAGCTCTGACTTAGTTGTATAGAGTTTGATATACGTGTCCACCATTAAATCCAGATCATGTTTTATATCAAAATTTATGTTAAGCAAAGCCAAGTTACTTGACCTTTGGTCTGTCAAAGTGTTCCTCAGGTATGCTTTGAGACGCTTTCGCCCATTTTCATAGCGTTCATTCTCAACCTTCATCACAGGAAGAATACATAGGACTTTTAGCAATGCATAAACATTAGGAAAAAACTTGATGTCTGGTAGATGCAGGGCTTCATAAATGGTGGATGGAAGCTCTATATCTTTCCCTCTGTGTTTCCATTTGATTCTCCAGCAATGCAGCTCAGCTGAGAGTGTGTCGGGATTGGGCAAGTCACTTCTGTACATGTCAGCATGGTGCTCCTCCGATGTATTAAATTTGAGCTGTCCCATGACAGAGGGTACAAGAGATAAGCATTTAAGAGCTTTGAGGTGCTGTTCTGAGAATATATCTTTCAGTTCCTGAATAATGTGTTCCACTGTTGGAACACTTAGAGTTTCTTTATAGTAACTCTCAGAAGTGAGCTGAGATTCCAGGTTACCTTGCTGGGCTCTGCGGAATTTCCCAGGGAGTTTCATCTGAACATCAAGCTTAGTTGCCAAATTTGTGGCTTCTTCGAACCAAAATTCATGATAAACTTCAATATTTTCCATCACTTCATTTAGTGAATGCAGCACTGCAGTCAAGCTACTGGCTGCAAAGAAGACATCAGAGGTTTGCCCTTGAAGGTTTTTCCCAAAGGCTCTTGTAAAAGATAGAACATTTTTAAGAACAACAATGGTAACGATGAAATCAAAATCTGTTATTGCACTACAGAGTACAAAAGCTCGACCAGCTATATAGTTATTCCATCTAATATTTGTATCACTATTTATACCATCTAAACATAAAACAAGTGCTTGTAGGAGGTCCACTAAAATTTCAAAAGTATCATGCCTGCCTGTCCACTGAGAATGGCAGATTTCCTTCAGTTCTTTACCCTTTTCCTCATTGTTCTGAAAGAGGACAGAAATTACATTGTCAAGCTCCAAAAGCAATTGTGGAGATCGATGGAAGAAAGAACAAACTTCCTCAATTGTTCCTAACGCAACAGATACTCCCACAACAGGCACTGATTTTGCCAACCATATATTTAAGGCACAGGAAGAGCAAAGTGTGTAGACAGCTTGGGGATATTTCTCTAAAAGTCTAGAAGCAACGACTTTCATTTTGGAAGAAAATCCACTGGACACAATGTAAGCCTGGCCACGACAATACTCCATGTTTAACCCCCACTTCTCAGTTATCGTAGTGTGAAATTTTACAGCCAAAATTTCTGCATCAGCTTCATAAGGCAAGAAGCCCACAAATTCCTCTCTCAGGTTATGAGATTCATCAACAAACCTCACCAACACAGGCAAGTGTTCTTCCCCTGCTATGTCCACTACGTCATCAGTGATGATGGAAAAGAAGTGGGAGTCTCTCACTTCCCTGAGGGTCTCCTCCCGAATGCAGCTCTCACAGATGTCTAGCATCTGTTTCTGCTGTGTTTTCGAGCAGAACAATGTGTTAACTGCTGTTGTCTCAAAGCGCTTTCTCAGAACCTCTTCGCCAGAATTTATCCGGCACTCCAGCAGTGCTTGGAAGTTATCCGGAGTAAACAGACCCTCTGGGATTTCATCAGTTTCGTGCCCATCCAGAGGGATGTTTTGTTTTCCCATAAGAATCAAAATTTCAAATAAAGATTTTAAGTATTCTTTGTTTTCTTTCTCTTCAAGGGTTAAAGGTAAAATGTCTTCATCCTGTTCTTCACCCCCTTCTTCTGCACTGGGATTCTGAGCATTGCTGTTATTTATTTCTTTATGTTTTGGTTCCTGTTCAGAAGTTTCATCAACTGGAAAACAAAGAATTAATTTTATAAACAGGCTCATGAGGAACCATACAAACAACAAAAATTTATATTTTTGACTGGTTAAATATTTAAAATTCACAAACTCATCCATTCAACATTCACCAGGCACCTACTGGACCACAGACTAGGATACAGAGGTTACAATAAGACACACTCTAGAGGAGACAAAAAACCATATACAGATATATTTTAATCCTACACGTAAATGTTGTAAGAGAGAAATGATTTCTTACAAACTTAACAAGGCACGTCACATAAAACATACACAGAGCAGTAACAGTCTGTGCCCTCAGAAAAAAGAAAAGGAAGAGAACTAATATTTATTGAGGCACTGTGTTGGCATTTTATATTTATCACATTATTCCCTCTACAGGCAGGTGCTATCAACCCCATTTGACAAATTGAGGAAAGTAAATAATTGCCCAGGGTTATAGATGTGGTTAGAAGGATGGAGATAAAATTCAAATCCAAGCCTGGCTGGCTCCAAGGTCCATGCTGATGCAGTTTCTGTGAAATTAAGCTACACTTTTATATGCAAGAGGAGAGTTCTACAAGCCAATAAAATGTAGAGTATATTCAGGCAATTTTTAAGGCTAATATTAGACTACTAGACATATCAGCCTGATCTCTTTGTATTTGGATAGGAAAACCAAGGCGCTGAGGTTGGTGCCCTGCCCGCTGTCATACACACAATGTTGCAAGTCCTGGACCCTGTGGTCCCCTCTAGGCTCATTTTCTAACCATCATGGAACAGTAGAAGCTCCAACAACAAAATGAGTATAATTTCCCAAATCCAGCACCCTGCTTCAAGCCACTCTACTTCTGTACAGAATACTCTTTCCTCCTTTGCCTGACTCCAGGTCTCCTCATCTACAGAGATGGAAAATAATAGTACTTACCTCAGGACTACTGTGAGAATTAAATCAATTAAGAAAAGCACTTAGAATAAAGACCTGGCACAGAGCAGACATAAAGACTTATATTAATAATAATAGCAACACAGTAGTAGGAAGGGACAGAGAAAGGAGGAATAATAGCAATCACTGTCAAGAACAAAAACAACTTAATAAGTCATTGTCGTTAAGTGGTTGTCTGTTTGACAAGGAGGGAAGTCCATGTTGCATACTGTTCTAAGAAGATAATGTTGCTTTCCAGCTCTGTCTAATTTATGGCACCTTAACTTTCACTGTTGAGAGTTTATCTGGCAAAAGAAAACATGCCCATTTTTTCCAGGAGACATTTCTGAAACCTTAACTTAGGTTGCATTGTCAGTTTTACTGCAAAGATGTTTCATATTTTAGCCAAATATTTTTATAGTAAGAATTCAGAATTATTTTACACATTAAAATGGTTGCTATAATATGGCATGTCTCCTACTCAGAAGTAGATGTTTATTATATAGGAAATAGAATTTCATGAGATTTTATGAAGTTCTCATCGCCAAAACCTTTAATAAAAGTGGAAGAGTCTTGATATGCTCTTTTCCTTCATACCATTACATCCATCTATTTCTGACTGTCTACATTTCACGATTAAACGAATGTTTTGCCAAAAACAAAACAAAACAAAACAAAAACAACTTCTCGTCCTCATTCTTTGGTGACAGAGGTCAGCTATCAGTACCTGCAGAAAGGCTTCTGACTCCTACTCTCTATTAGGCTAAGGTTCCCACGGCATTTATTCCTTAAAAATGTATCAAGAACTTATTATGCACCACACATTGGGTGGACGAAGATTCTGCTCTGGTCCTTCCCGCTGCCTCTCCTTCCCTACCCTGGGACACTCTGTGTGCCTGCCACTCCTACCACACCAAGAGCACAGCCCTAGTGGGGAGAAGGCAAAGTAGCACTCAATCAAGAAACTAAACTAACACTTTAGTCTCACAGACAATTCCAGACCACGGGACAATGCCTACCACATGCTTACATCATTCTCACGGCAGGTTTTAGACATAAAACATAATTATTTGTCCTTACCAGGTCAAGGCCTTTTTAAAAGGCATTCAGAAGTTGAGTCATTAATACTATCACTTACTTTTTTTCTGTTTCAGTGTCCTGATTTCATCTTCACTCTAAATGACAAGAAAAAAGAAAAAAACATCTTTAAGAAAACTGAACTCTAGCACATCACTGTAGACTCATAAGTAAAAAGCATATCTTGACTCAAATTTAATTCCTTCAAGAGCATAAATTCCTTATAAGGAAAACATTCTTCAAACATAGAGATGACCAGAAAAACCAGAAGTATAATTTACTAATGAGTGCTCGCTTCGGCAGCAAATATACTAAAATATAATTTACTAATGACTCCAAGCTCATAATAAAATACTGGAGAGGAAAGAATACATTGTTTAACTTACTTTATACTTAAATCATCATAACTTCGGGTTACAAGTGTTTGCTGGCTAATAAAAGGCATGAAAGTATAGGATGGGCATTCCAAGGGGTCACAAATCATGTCCCCCTCAATCCAATCCTGGGGGATGCCATGTAAGAGAGAGTTGTTGGATCCCAGAACCTAACATAAAAGCTATGAAAAAATCCCTGGGAAGCAGAGAGTAACGCAGTACCAGTATGGAAAAGAGAGAAATGGATGCACACAGCATAGAGGGCCAAGTGGCACACACATACAGGGTTAGACAGAGGAAGGACTTCCCAGTTGTATCCTTTTCTCTCCCTCTAACCCCCCACAATGCTTAAATCACAAGCCACCCCATCCCTATTCTGGGGCAGGCAAGCGGCAGTACCAGTGACATATGGAGTTAGCAGGGTACCTGCTAGGCAGCATGGGAACACGATACTGCTAACAAGAAATGTCAACAGGCTAGCCAATCTGGAACATTCCCTCCTTATCCTGTGAGCTGCAGCTGCAAGGAGGGCAGATCTGGAAGAGTATGTCTGCAGTAAGGTATTTGAGGTTCCCAAGGGGCGGAATACAGGGAAATGATAAGCTACAGGGTGGGAAGTGGCCGAGTGCCTCAGCCCTGGTACATATTACTAAGAAGAACGCTGATGTGGAGGACTGTTGTGGAGTGTCAGCATTCATCTATGAGAAGTCCCAGAAAAACAAATAAATAAACAGAGGGAAAGAAATGCATGAAGAAATAAAAACTGAGGATTTCGCAGAACTTAAAGATGTAAATCCAGATAATTAAAAAAACCATCTAGACCCAGTTTAGCAAAATTTAAAATGTCAAATATAAAGGAAAAAAACTAAAGACTTTGAGTGAGAAAAGCAGATCGCCTATTTTTTTTTTTTTTTAAAGATTTTTATTTATTTATTCATGAGAGACAGAGGGAGAAGCAGGCTCCCAAGGAGCAGAGAGCCCGATGCGGGACTCGATCCCAGGACCCTGGGATCATGACCTGAGCCAAAGGCAGACGCTTAACCATCTGAGCCACCCAGGCGCCCAAAAGCAGATCATCTAAAAAGAAGCAAGAATCAGGCTAGCATCATACTTCAATAGCAATAACAGATGCAAAAACTAGAAAGAATCAGTATCACACAGACTGTATATATCCTCTATGTATCACTTAATAATAACACTCCAAATAAAAACTACAATATGATTTTAAAAAATAAACCCATGCCTGGAAACTAAAAACAAAAATAATCCTATGTTAAAGAAATAGGGGATCACAAAACACTTCTAGCTAATCAATGAAAGCATTACATGTCTAAAATTGTGGGATACAGCTAAAACACACTTAAGACATTTACAGCTTTGAATATACATAAATATGAGCTAAACATTCAAGAAGCCAGAAAAAGAGCTAAAAAGTAAATCCCTCAAATCAAGAAGAAACCGATAAAATAGCTCACACGTACAGCAATCATTAATAAAAGTAACTACTATTTCTTTGCAAAGACTATTAAAATAATCTTAGGTTCAGAAAAAAACAAGCATTCCAAAATCCTAGATGCAGTTCATGAACTCTTGAAAACAAATGAAAACACAAGAAGAGAAAACCAATAAATAAATCAAAATGGCAATTAAAATATTCCCTCACCCACCCCAAGCCCTCTGATGGTTTTATGGTTTAACTTTCAAGGGCAGATAGTATACACCTTATACAAGTTTCTCTAGAAAAATTAAGGGAGAAAAAAAGGAAAGCTATCCAACTAATTTTATAAGGCTAATAGAACCTTGATACCATAACTGGATAATAGGAGTACACGAAAAAAGAAAATTACAGGACAACACTTAAAATGATAAATGCAAAATCCTAAATAAAATATTAACCAACTAAATCAAACAAATGAAGATATACTGCATTCAATTAGGGTTCATCACAGGAATGCAAAGACGGTTCAACATCAGAAAACCCATCAATGTCATTGACTGCCTTAAAAAAAATCGTGAACTTTTCTACTCAACAGATGCAGTGAAATCTTCTGATAAGTTCAACAAGTTATGATAAAAATTTTGAATATGAGGACTAAAAGAGAATAAAAGGAATTTCCTTAACTTGATAAAAATTATCTAACAATATCAACAACAAATGTCACACTTAATGCAACAAGACAAATGTACCAGCTGTGACATTCCTGAGACTGTTCAACACAGCACTCTTAGGGGTGTAGTAACTGTAGTTACTAAACAGTAACACAGGCAACAGAAAAATTTTAAATTATAAAGATTGGAAGAAGAGGCAAATTTGGAGGACGATACAATCAACTACATAGAAAACTTGGTGGACTATTAGGATTAATAAAAAGGGGTCTTCAAAATTGCTAGAAACAATCCCAACCAGAATACATAATCTATACCAACAATAACCACAGTGTATTTAGGAAGTAATTTAAGGAAGAATATACATATTGTTTTCTTTTAAAGAACTGCAGCAGGGCGCCTGGGTGGCTCAGTTGGTTAAGCGACTGCCTTTGGCTCAGGTCATGATCCTGGAGTCCTGGGATTGAGTCCCACATCGGGCTCCCGGCTCAGCAGGGAGCCTGCTTCTCCCTCTGACCCTATCCCCTCTCATGCTGTTTCTCTCTCTCTCTCTCAAATAAATAAATAAATAAAATCTTAAAAAAAAAAAAATCATTTTAAAGAACTGCAGCAAAAACCCTGAAGTTATTTCAAATTTTTTACTTTATGTATTCTTAAAAGTTTTTTAATTTTTAATTTATTTTAAAGATTCTATTTATTTATCTGAGAGAGCACGAGCCGGGGCGGGGGCAGAGGGAGAAGCAGACTCCCCACTGAGCAGGGAGCCTACTAGGGGCTCGATCCCAGGACCCTGAGATCATGACCTGAGCCAAAGGCAGACGCTTAACCAACTGAACCACCCAGGTGCCCCTAAAAGTATTTTAATAGTGTTTTCAAAGAACTAGTATTTAGTTTTGTCAATGATTGCTATTACTTGATAGCCGTTTTTTTCTGTTTATGGATAGGTCTAATTAATATTGCAAAGATAGTAATTCAAAACATTCATGATGAAAATCCCCATACAATTTATATAAGACAAAAGAATTCTCAAATTCATCTGGTGGGATAAAGGTCCACAAATAGCTAAGACAATTTTGAAAAAGAAGAGTTAAGAAATCCCTGTATTTGAAAGTAAGATATATTATAAAGCTATGGTAATAAAGACATACAAACTCCAAATGGATCAAAGACGTAAATATGAAAGGTAAACACAGAAACAGAAAAATGAAGAAAATTAGATAAATGTTGCTTTAAAAAGCACACAGTAGGCAGAATGAAATGAAAAATATTAAATACACTAGCATGGATACCAAAAGGAGGAGAGGAAATGGGAATGGTAATAGTGGAAGGAGGAAGAAAAAAAAATAAAGGTCTTGCTGGTGGCAACAATGACAGAAAGTCATGGACTGAGGAGTCTCAGCAATTTAATGCTGTTCACCTAATGTCAACAAAAAAACAGGTAGGTTTCAATCATTAGAACTAAAGGGTATCAAAGGAATATAAAAACATGTATAAATGATGCCATATATAGAGATTTAAAAGTTTTTTCTAACCCTGTCAGTACTTAATAGTGCTAGAACCATTACTTCTAAGTAAAAGTATCCATGTCTTAACTTTTATACTTTCCCTTTCTTTATCCCTTTGTGCTGAATTCTGGAAATATCCCTCAGCTCCACTTTCCTTACTATAAAAGAAAAGGTAGTGTTTTTTGTTTTTTTTTCTTCCCAGGAAGGTTATGTGCTAGTGGTCTACAACTGAAAGCATATTTTGCCCCAAGTCAATGAGTATCAACGGGCTAAATTTGAGAAAGACTTTCCAATTTAAGAACTGATCATCTCACATCCATGCTACTTCAATAACCACAGCATTCACTTCCCATGCTACCTTTGAAATAGAGAGTAACTTGGGTTCAATTTTAACATGAATGCATCTATATTTGATGTCACAGTATTACGGGGGGGTGGGAAAGCCAAAAGCACACTGACATACCAATTCTTTTATTCGTTTTCTGTGTCTACTATGTGGATTGTTCAAATGACTGGTAAGATCAAATATTGTTGGTATTGCATTATCTCGAAGAACTGTCCTATAAGGACTCTGAAAAAGAAAAATGTGTTAATTCAGAAACAGTCTGTAAGAATGTATTATTACACATAAAGAAAATGCTATGTTAATGACTTCCCCAGTACTCCTTCAACTCCAGCTCTAAAGTGTAGAGACGTGCAGAAAGATGATGTCAATCCAGATTAGCTTATTATTTCTAACTCAATTTTTGTCTTTGCCCTTCTGGCAATCTATTTTCAAAAAGGAACGGAACTGATGGTAGACATAAAAAATAAAATGTATTTGCATCTTGCATATATACTTCTAATTCATCCTCCCAGCGACTTTGTCTGTTCTGCCCTTCCAGGAGCCCACCAAATCTACAGTAGGCACAAAAGTTTCTCCATCTATTGCTTTGTGTGTTCTTAATAATTCTTCCCTTTACCTGTTGTTCACTCCCCTTTCACTACTATTACTGAGAAGCATCAGGTATAGTGAAATAATATTGGACTGCGTGGGACCCAGGAGACCTAGGAACTAGTCCAAACTCTACCAGTTACTCACTATGAGATCCTAGCCAAGTATTTTCCCTTTTTGGACCTCAGTTTCCTCTTCTGAATAAAATTCAAGTATTGAACTAGACCAATATTTCCCAAAATGAAATTATTCATATACTAACGATAATGCTTGCAAACCATTATCTGCACTTTTATATAATCCACTCATTTTTAATGAGTTAGAATTGTCTTAGGCAATACAAACTACAAAATAATGATTTTGATGATATTGAGCAATATCAATATCAAATATTATTATAAATAATAATTTCTAAATTATAATTTATAATTATATAAATATATATATCTTTTTAAAGATTTTACTTATTTATTTGACACAGTGACAGTGAGAGAGGGAGCACAAGCAGGGGGAGTGGGAGAGGGAGAAGCAGGCTTCCCGCGGAGCAGGGAGCCCGATGTGGGGCTCGATCCCAGGACCCCGGGATCACGACCTGAGCCGAAGGCAGATGCTTAATGACTGGGCAACCCAGGCGCCCCTAGCTAGTTATATTTTTTAACACATACTGTTGAAACTCCTAAAATAAAAACTGACTCATGTGCCACTTGAATTCATTCATAACCGTGATATACCTAATTGGACTTCTGCAAACACTGAACTAGGTATTTCTAAATTTCTAATTCTAATGTTCTTATCACTGAAGGATGACTATTCTCTATTCTAATTCCTGTTAACCTAATCCAACCTGGCTAGAAGCTGGATGCATACTTAGATGTTGACAGTCTTCAATAGCCAACCCAGAGGTCAAGTAGGGACAAGAAGTTTATTAACAGGAAGAGTAACAGATGAATAACTGCATACATTCCCCTCAGCTAGTCCAAAGAAACAGTGCCTTTAATTTCTTCACAGGTCTGCACTGATTAAGACAAACACTTCTTTTTAAAAAGCTTTCTCAGGAGCAGTGATTGTTTCAAAGCTGACTATTAAAGCATGTTCAAAGTATATGCCAAACAAAAATAACAACTATATTTTTTTCACCCAGGGAAGGAAGGTTAGGATGATATGAAGAAAAAAATATGTAACTAAAGGGAACACACTATCTTGGGTTTTATTTCAAGAGTTGTTAAACACATTTGGGAAGTATTTCTATTCAGATTCAATATTTTCCAGTTCAACCCCATGCCTCATAGAAAACAGAAAGAAGAAAACTTTTTTTTAAAAATCTATTTCTTAATGACACTCAGCTTCTAGTGCTGGGCCAATTATCCTGAGTCTACTAGGAATTTTCAGAGATTGATTAGGGACACAATCACTGAAGGGAGCAAAAACGATACTGGACCCCAAACACCGCATCTTTCCTGCTTAGCAAACAAACATGTCACAACATACACAGTCAACTCTTGATATCTTACCAATTATTAAATAAGGAGAGGAGGGATAAAACATTCTTAATGCATTTCTTAAATTCAAATCAAATTAATTTGCTATAAAGATATTACAGACCAAAAAACAGCACATGAATTAAAAACATGTTACTTTTTATAAATACTGATTTATAAGTTCACATGCAAAAAAGAGCTATATTCAATTTACGTGCATGACAGTTTTAACTCAGTATCAAGATTTAATCTTTAACTGCTGAACTAAGGTTTGAGCATAAAGCAGTGATTTTACTCTAGCATCAAAGATAATATTTGGCTTTGGTTGAAGTAGCCATGAATGTTTACTGATGAAACCTTCAATGCCAAACTAATAAAGTCAAAACTCTCAAACATTTGGATATAGATATCATATAAGCCGGTTTTTAATAGCAGTATCTTCTTCTACATGTGTAGAAAGAACATCTTCTCGTATTTGCATTAACTTATTCAAGACTGAAGAATCATGTGGAAATTTAAAAAGCAAAAATAGCTCATCTTTCTGTCCTATGCTCTGACTAAACAAGAATATGAGTGAACTATAATTTTACATTTCTCATATTAATCTTACTGGAATTGTCTAATAAATAGACCATATTTATTACTAAAATAAAAATGTATATGGCTTGTATATTTAAAATAATTTGGGATATTTTTATTTAATGTCAAGAACATAAAAATAGTTTGCCTTTTAAACATATGAAATCCCTTATTTTGGTTGATCATTATTACCCTCTTAACAAAGCAAGGCAAAAATATCCCTCAAATATTTGTGATTAAACTGTTGAACCGGAATTGGCTCACCTCCCAATGACTTCACAAGTATCTGCTTCAATTAATTTTGAGAAATAAAATAACCCAATCATTCTTTAGTTTTCTGATGCCTCTGCAAAATGTATCTGAAAAAAATATCAAAATAAATTGCTGCATAACAATATATAGTGTATCTTCAAATCAAGTTTATGTCTATCCCAATATCTGAGATGATACATTAGTTATACCTAAACAAGAATATATTATTTACAAAACTGTCTTCCTAACTAATTTTTAAAGTGTTTCAAGTCTGCTTCATTTCAATCAAATCTGCCCTATTTGTGTCTCTTACAAGTCACAGCAACAACAGAATCACAGAGGGTTAAAAATCTTAAGATCTCAAGAATTATGTGGTTTAATCTCCTTATTAGAATTTGGGGCCCAGAAAGGGAAAGTGACATGGCCAAATTCACACAGTTAACAGTAGTAAGGGTGAGAGACCCAGGTCTTGATATGAAATTGAAAATTACTGATGGAAATTTTTTTTCACATTAAATATATGATTTGCTTCTTGTAACTTGCACATAAAAATTAAGGGTTGGTTCTAACAGTACATGGAAACATGAAAACAAAGAGCTCCATTTCTCAATGAAGATTTCACTCATAAAAAAAGCTCTGGAGAAGTTGCTCCAAATAAAAACACAACCTCTACCTTAAACAAACACTTTAATATCCAAAATTTTCTGAAGGCTGCATTAAGCAACGTAAAAGTGGCAACCTCTGGTGAGTAGGACGGGGGCATCAGAAACAGGGGGGTTAAAAAAAATCCAGGGTTTTTAAGAACAAAAGAATACCAATTAGCTCCGAATTTGTCTTCAACTTTGAAAAAAGTGGTGGGGTCCAAGGATACACTCCAGCATTATTAAATATTTACATTTCCAACCAGATACTGAGTGAGAGAGAAAACAACAACTCAAGCCCTTCTATTACTTACAGTTCTACAGATCATAGAGGTCTCAAAGTGTTTGGCACATAATCGATAATGTTTATTTAGTTGATCAGGTGTTTTATCTTCTAAGTCTGCTCTCCTACAATTCTCCACCCACTTCTGGCATCTATAAATAAAACCAAAATACAATTATGAAATATGAGCTCAACATTTTTATTTCAGCATTCAGCTATAAGGCAAATATATATTATAGACAATGGATTCCTGCTCTCCTCTCCCTGTAGAACGTAATTTGGAAAAGCTGACTGATAACAAAATGAGAGCTAGAAGAAATCTTAGATATCATTTAGTACATTCAATTACAGACAAGGTTAAGAAGTAACTCGCTCAGAGTCATGCACAAAATCCGCAGTAAAACTAGAATTTAAATCTGAGTCTTTCAATTCCCAGGACATCCTACCACCAGAGAGGACTTAATTATCAGTAGTTCAAGCAAAAAGTTGCACAACCATGAGACCATGGCCTAACATTCCCCTCAGGATTTCAACTTAAACAAGGATATAAAACAACACTGCAAAAAATCAGTAAATAGATGTTCTATAAATCATGAGAGTTTCTTACAGGAGCATGATGCCTGTGTTCATTTGCCTTATTATAACATGATTTATTATCTACAATATGTACAGACTAGATTGCAAGCTCCATGACTGCAGGGATTGTACCTACACAATCTAGTACACAGAAGGTGTGGAAGATAATGAACAAGACAAAGTCCATGCCCTCTTGGTGTTTACAGATCTGCAGAAAAATAAATAATAATAATGACAATGATGACGATGCATACTAAGCACTTACTATGAGCCAGACACTGTTCTAAGTCCTTTACAAAAGGGTACGTTATCCCCTGTATGCAGATGAAGAAATGAAGGCACAGAAATGTTAATTTGCTAAAGCTTACAACTAGATCTTTCTTTCCTTCATTCCTCAAGTTTCTAGGAATAAAAATGCTGTCACAGCCACAAATTTGAAAACATAATTCACTCTACAATCGCATCATAGTATATTCTGTCTTAATATTACAGTTCACCCCTCCACACACACACACACACACACGCTGACACTTAATTCTTTCTACTCTCAATATGTAAAACCATGGTGAAATGTTGATTATCTAACTGAAACTAAAACCACACCTAAATTGTACAGCATTTCATTCAACCAAGAAGTATTACTGCACAGTAATGATACCTAAGATGTCCATATTTTAATATTTTTACAGAGTTGTGCACTATGATTTCATAAACATTTCATGTTTCAACATCCAAATATTTAGTACAGAAACTGTCTCACTAAAAAAATAGCCATACTGCTACAGCTGTTTGTTTTTTAATTCTTAGATCTCTGAAGACCTTCCGTACAGAATACTACTATCTTTATTATCTCTGAACTAAGTTGAGACAGCTTTCTGATACCACAAGCATTCAGATTCAATCAAGAATAGATTGGGCAGATAGCCCAAATAACTACATCTATGTCTGCCATATCAATACCTAGAAGTAAATCTAGTGAAAGATGTGCAAGACCCTCTAATTGAAAAAGATTTAAAATAACTTTAATAAATGGAGGGATATACAAGTTCATGTACTGGTACACTGAATTCTAAAGATATTAATTCTCCTCAAATTGATTTACTGATTCAATATAATCAAAATCCCAAAAAGTTCTTTTGTGCATGTCTCTTTGTGTGTATGTGTGAAAAGGAGAGAGAGAAAGGGAGAAATGACAATTCTAAAACTTTTTATATAGAAATTCAAAGGACCAATATCAAAATAATCTTGAAAAAAATAAGTTGACTGGGCGCCTGGGTGGCTCAGTTGGTTAAGCGACTGCCTTCGGCTCGGGTCATGATCCTGGAGTCCTGGGATCGAGTCCCACATCGGGCTCCCTGCTCGGCGGGGAGTCTGCTTCTCCCTGTGACCTTCCCCCCTCTCATGTGCTCTCTCTCTCTCACTCTCTCAAATAAATGAATAAATAAAATCTTTAAAAAAAATAATAAGTTGACTTACACTATCAGATATTAAAACTTATTATAAAGCTTAGTAAGAGTGTGTGGTACTGGCACAGGATAAAACAATGAAACAAAACGGAGAGCTATGGACAAAGTTTTTTTCAATACACAGCGCTGAGTCAATTCGATGGCCATATGAAAAAAATTAATCTTGACTCCTACTTTTACACCATGTGCACAAAAATAAGTACCAAGTGCACTATAGATCTAAATATGGAAGGTAAAACAATAAGCTTCTAAAAGATAACACAGGAGACTATCTCCATTACCTTGGCATAGACAAAGATATCTTAAAGAAGGCAAAAGAAAGCACAAGCTCTAGAGCAAAAGATGAATTAATTTGGCTACTTTAAAGTTAATAACTTTTCTTCATTAAAAGAACCCACTGAAGAGTGAAAAGACAACCTATAAAATGGAAGAAGGTATCTGCAATACATATATCCAACAATAGATTCTATCCAAAATATGTATTTAGAACTCCCACAGATAAACCAGAGAACCCAATATAAAAATGGGCCAGAGATCTGAATAAGTAACTTACAAGAAAAAGGTTATCCAGATGGCCAATACACATGAAAAAAACATTCATGGAAAAAAAAAGGGCTCAATCTCATTAGTCATCAGGGACATACTCATTAAACCATAATAAAATATTACTACATACCTTCAAGAATGACCACAAGTAAAAGAGAGAATACCAAATGCTGATGAGAAAGTGGCACTCTTTGGCAATGGGAATGAATGAACTAGCTAGATCCCACAAATGTAATGCTGAGTAAAATCAGCCAGGAGTACATCTATGATTCCTTTTATAAGAAGTTCAAGAATAGACAAAACTTGGGGCACCCGGCTGGCTCACCTGGAAGAGCATGCAACTCTTGATTTCGGGGTTATGAGTTTGAACCCCATGTTGGGTGTAGAGATTACTTAAATAAATAAACTTAAAAAAAAAAAGAAATCAGATGCCATTAAAAAAATAGGCAAAACTAATCTACGGTGATTATGCAGAAAAAAAGTTAATACAGGAGGCCTGAGATTGCTATTGTTAGAAAGGCCTGCTTGTAAGGATGGCCTTTTGCCTGGTGCCTGGAAGAAACTTGGTTAACAGTTCCCTATATTGACATAAAACTTTCCCTAACTGATAAGGTGGCTCATTGTACTTAGACTGTGCAAACAACAGGATTTATTTTTTTGAACAATATGATTTATACTGAACATCTGCCTTCCTTCTGGGAGTCTAGAATTTTAACATATGCTTGGCAGAGAGTGTCTATGTGACTACATCACAATAAACACTTTGGGCACTGGATCTCTAATGGGCTTCTCTGGGTAGAAACATGTTCTATACCTCAAACGTTACCTGGGTATTCATTTCATAAAAATTCATCAAGTCTAGACTACTAATTTTACACTCTTTTCTATGTATGTCATATATCAATAAAAGATTCCCTCACTGTGTCCCTCATTCTCAATAACCAACTAATCTAATTGTATCAAGTAGGACAGTGGCTCTCACTAGGGATAGTGGCATAATGACTGGGAGGGCCTCAAGGGAGAGGGAGTTTGGGATCTTAGTAATATATACATATATTTTTTTTAAATCTGGGCAAAAGTTTCATGGACAGGTCACCCTAAAAATCCAACAAGCCACACAACACTTAATGAGTTGTGATTGCCTGTGTATATACATTTTATATCAATAGTTATAAAAGTTATATATGACTACAAGCTTTTTACATACATGTGTGTACATGTACATGTGTATATATACATTATGTATATATACTTAAATGCTTTTAAGGATATACATAATTATCTCTCAAATTGACCACTGTCTCCCCTCTCCTAGCTCTCCCTGTCATTGTTCTGTGCCCTGTACTCCAGACTCTGTAGTCTTTTCCCTTAGCAGAGTGGAATGATTCTCCGAATCCATCCAGCTTCAACTGGTCTTTTGCCTTTCCCTAACCCCTTCTCCATGCTGCAGAGTAAATGTTTTTGTTTTTTTGTTTTTTACGATTTTATTTATTTATTCGAGAGAGACTGAGCATGCATGAGAGAGCACAGTGCGGGGAGAGGGAGAAGCAGACTCCCCAGTGAGCAGGGAGCCTGACATGGGGCTCACGGGGCTCGATCCCAGGACCCTGGGATTGATGACCTGAGCCGAAGGCAGACACTTAACAGACTGAGTCACCCAGTTGCCCCTCAAACGTCATTTCTTGAAGGAAACTTTTCCTGATTCAGATGTGTATACATATGTGTATGACTATGTATACACACACACACATAGGAAAGACTCCCCTTCCTCTCTGTATATGCTCTCTCAACATCCTTTATTTATCTTACTGTATTATGACCATTAGTATAAACATGCCCTAGTATCTCCCTTCTAAAAAATTCCATTTACCTGGACCCTCTGCATAGCAAAACTAGAGCCCATTTTCCCTGTCTCCACTTTATCTCACATTCTTTCCTCCATCAATTCCAAGGAGGCTTCTGCTTTATCTCTTTTCCAACGAAACTGCTCAAGATTATGAATGATTTCAATCCTGCCAAATCCAGTTGTCATTTTCTATCATTTTAATCACCCTTTCAGTATTATTTAGCCTTTTTATTTATTTTTCCCTTTGATGGTCTCCTACTTGCAGCATTTTCAAAAACATATTTCAAGGCACACTAATCAACTGTTCCATTAAAATAAAAAAGTTTCATGGTCAAATAAGTTTTGGTAATATTACATATTTTATCCTATATCATGTTTCTATGGGACTTTGAGGACATTAGTTAATTTCTCTGTGCCTGCTTTGTTCATCTGAAAGCAGGGACTATCTCAAAACCTACTGCGAGGGTTAAATGAAATAATGTACACAAAACATACAGACCACTGACTGGCACAGAGAATATGAAGTATTCTATAAAAAGTATTATCATTACAACTCACAGCATTGGTTGGAGGATTAAATGAGATATGAAAGCACTTTAAGATCATATTTTATAGATGTGATTCTCAAACTTCAGTCTTTTTACACTCTTAGTGAGGACCCAAAGAGCTTTTGTTTATCAATATTTATCATTATAGAAATTAAAACCAAATACATTTA